CCGGATGAGGGCGCGTAGGGTTGAAGGTCAAAATCTCCTCCGGCAGGGGCCCGTTGGGGCCCGTCTCGGCCGACGTCGTCAGAATGACGGGAAGGTCAAAGACCCGGCCGAGGCTCGAGTGAGCGAGGTAGTTGTTGCGGAAGAGAGTCGGGTCAGAGTCGCGCGCAAGGTTGATCAGGCCTTCCTGGATATCGACGATGAGCAGCAGCGTGTCGTTCTTGTCGAGGCGCTCATGCACATAGGCTGTGGGAGCCCGGTTAGTCACAAGTTCAACGGCTACACGTCAGGCAAAGATTCATGGGCAGAACACCTACCGTTACTCGACTTGGCTGCGACGGCAAACACGAGGGCCGAAACGGCGAGGCTGAGGGTGGCGGAGAACTTCATGGCGACGGTTGGTGAGGCTGAGAGGAAGCTGTGAGGCTACTGGTGCTGGGCTGGCTGAGGAGGGGGGAAGCATGATATCCAAGTGTGAGGTTCTCACTCTCCTTTTATATCTGATTGTCTCCGCATATCCCAAGCCCGCGATCCAGCAACGTCGGTCTATCAACCTTTCATCCGGGGAGCCAAGCCAGCCCGAACATTGCCTCATCTCCTCCCCCTCCATGTCTGCCGTGCTTCGCCTCCTCGTCGTCCAGCGGCCCTCTTGCAACAAAATACCTCCCCGTGTAACACGCCCCTCTTTCCACCCGCGGAAAGATGCACGCAACCACTTGCCCGCCCGCTCCGATGCGTGTTGGTCACGATGAATTACCTTGACCGCCGTGCAGGCTAAGCCCCAAACAAGACATCAAAACCGAATCAAAGAGTGCCTCGTCGAGTCTTTCAGTCTAGCCAGGGGGCCGACCTGAGAATCACGATCGCGAGGATGGGGCTTTGACTCAGCGTCGTGCGGCCCCTCGAACGGAAGGGCAAGGGAGAAGGCAGTGGAATAGGCGGAAGTCCGCACGGCGAAGATGGGGGGGGGGGGGGGGGGGGGAGAACCCCCGCTGCGCGTACTGTATCGCGTTGCGGCCCCACTGTTGGGGTGCCGGGCGGGATGAATAAGATGTGGCGGGACGGGATCTGCACTGCTTAGATGTGCTTAGATCGATGCTGAGCGATGCCGAGCGGGCGCCCTGGTTTGCTCGCAGCCCGACCGGGGGTCTCGAGTCTCGTCAAGAGCTGGGTGGGGTGTTCACTTTGGACCTCGAGGGACGTTACATCGAACGCGTCGGAGTGAAGGGAATGACGTTTTCCATTTCTTTTACGTTTTGCTCGTGCAGATTTGTACATTTGTCGTCGTGTGACGCTGAAGTTGACGGAACGCCTGGGGCGCAAATGCCAGTTTTGCGGCCGAGACACGTACGATGGCGGAAGAAGATGACTGGGCCTTCTGATAGCCTTTCGGCTCGGGGGGGAGGGCAGAGTTTCCTCGATGTTATATTGAAGCTAATTTCCCTGCTTGCGCAACGCGATCCGACCCTGGACCATCTATATCGCGGCATGAACCCGGTTCTATAGAGCCTCTGGCCTTCTTTTCGACACGAAGGCTAGACTGAGCATTAGCATGGTCACAATATCAATATTGCTGAGGGGAAGATGAATCAGCTCTGCAGTCCTCTTACCAAGACAACTAGCCTGGGCATTTGACCAGAAATCTTTCCTTTCTCAATCTTTTGCGCAAGAACGAGCGCTTCAGCGGAGAAAGATTCGAGTACCTCGTACGTTTACTTTACTGGAACTGACGAGGACACCCTGGGCACCGGACAGTCCGGCCCTCTCCCAGCATTGTAGATGAGCAGCACTTCGCTTCGACAAGGATGAACAGCGGGGCAGCAGAAAGAGCCACGAGGTCACACTGAGCACATCTTGATCCATGAAACTGCGAGCTCACAGAGTAACAAACTTTGCGGCGTCAAACGCTTGACGGCCCTCGGCTTTGCTCTCGTTTTCCAACGCCTTGCCGCCGGGGAGAACATAGCCCCTCTGGTTCGCCACCAGCCTGATGCCGTTCTGCGTGAAGCTCGTCGAGAAGTGCGTGTGGCCAAAGACCCAGACCTTGACCCCGGCCCAGGCCCAGGCCTTCTCATGAACGAGATCGGTCGCGAACGCGAACGACAGGGGACTCGCCGCATGCTCGGGCCGCGACGTGCCCTTGACGCAAGGGGCATGGTGCGTCGCCACGAGGAGCCGGCGCGCTCTGCCTTGTTCCTGGCGGCCGCCGGACGCGAGCTGCGCGACCTGCTCGCGGAGCCAGGCGACCTCGTCGGCGTGGACCTCGTTGTGCCTTGCCGGGGTCCACGCGTGGATGTGGGCATAGTCGCTGACGCTGGTCCTGACGAGGTCGTGGCTGTCGTCCGGCAGCGCGGACCAGAGCGTGCAGCCGAGGATGGTCAGGCCGGATCCGGGATCGTCCCAGCGCGTCTTGTGGAGCAGGACGAGGCCGGCGGCGAGGCTGGGCTCAGCGGCGAGACGGCGGGCTTGGGCGAGGCCCGCGTCGTAGTCGAGCCCGAAGAACTCGTGGTTGCCGAGCACCAGGAAGACTTTTCGGTAGCGGGCGACCTGGGCTTCCAGGAAGCGGCGGTAGCCCTCGTAGTCGATGAGGCGGCCAATGTCGCCGCCGAGGAGCAGCAGCGGTGCCGAGGACGGGAAGTGGTAGGACGTATACTGCTGGCAGACTTCGAGGTGGAGATCGGACAGGATCTGGACCCGTGGGCCCGATGCTGGTCGGAGTTGCGCCTGGATGGCTCTCGCGATGTTCATCGTTGGGGATTGGGAATGTGTGAGGGTGATGTTGCCTCTGTTTGGAGGTGGGGCCAACGTCGTTTGTGCGTACTGCCCAGTTGCCTAGGTAAGGTGCCTAAGATGGTGCCTTCCTGACGCTGGCTCTGTTTACTGATCCGTTGCGGCAGGGCAAAATTGTGACGATAGATAGGCTTTCTCGTTACAGCAATGCCGTGGTGATCTGACCAGAATGTATCAATTTGCTTGCCATCACGCGTGACTACCACCATTATGGCGAAGATATGTCCCATTTGATAATAGTCTAGAACAAGCCGCCGTGGATTCGAAGGCGCATCGCCTCGCGATCGCGCCATGATGCATCAGGACGACAACCCCACGTCGAAGAACCTCCATAAAGTCGTCCCATGCGTGTCTCCCAGTCTCGAGTTCGTTGCCACAGCTTCGTCTCGGCAGAGGGACGGTCGCCCGCAGAAACTCCAAAAACGCCCCGCGAACACATGCGTATAGACAGACAGATAACCAGACCGCGCCTATTTCCGTGCCTCCATCTCTCTCTCTCCCGTCTCTCTCTTTCTCGTGTCTCTCTCTCGTCTCCTCTCTCGTCTCTGTCTTCGGCTTCTGCGCCTTCGTCTGTTGTCCCTCTCAGCTCCGCAGCGCCTCGAGACGGTCGCGCATCTGGTCCATCATGGCCTCGTTGTCCTCCTCGTCCTCCTCCTCGGCCTGCTTGGGCTCTTGGTGAACAGGCACGGTCGGCATTTTCTCCTTGGGCATGCGGTCCTTCAGGATCTCGCCGAGGACCTTGTCGACCTCGCCGTCGGCCTCGACCTCCTCGCCCTCGAGGTCCATCTCCTCGGGCAGGCTCTCGCCGACCATCTCCTCAATGACGCCGGCCTTCATGAGCTCGACGCTGAGCTCCTGCATGGTGCCGGCGAGCTCGGGCAGGCGGATGAGCGTGTTGACGTCCTTCATGATGCCGACGCTGGCGCGGATGGAGCCCTCAATCTTGCGCACGGCAAAGGCCTCGTTGACCTGCATCTGCACGCTGTTGAGCTGGGCCTTGGACGTCACGAGCCGGGCGCTCGTCTTGCGCGCGCGGATCAGCTCGCGCGCAAAGTCGCGGGCCTCCTTCTGCGCCTGGCGCGCCCGCGTCGGGTCGCGCTGGGCGCGCTTGTCGGCGGCGATGATGAGGTTCTTGGTCTTGACCTCGACCTGCTTGACGGCGAGGATGTCGCGGTCGAGCTTGCGAATGTTGGAGCGGAGGAGCGTGTTGCATTTTCGAAGCTGCAAGGCGCTGGCCGTCAGCAGCAGTCTCTCTCGTTTGGGTTCATTCGTCGAGGCGAGGGGCGAGGAAGGGGGGAGAGGGAGAAGAGGGAGGGGAGGGCCGGAAACGCACCTGGGCCTGGGGGTCTGGTTTGGCGAACATGGCCCGGATGGTCTCCATGGTGGGCAAAAGGAGAAGAAGCCTCGAGGCTTCACAGCTTCAGAAGCGTCTCAGTGGTACTGGTGCTCGTGCTGGTGCGGTGTTGGGCAAGGGGAAGGGCACACCAGGTGGCAGAGGTTGCGGCCGAGGCATAGGTTTGCATTGACTGACTGAAGCCTGGAGACCGATTGAGGTTGGGGGCGGACGAGAGTGACGTGAGGCCTTATCGGGGCTTGTCACTGTGTGGCCCGCAGCCAGTACGTATACCCCGCTGAGTGCCGCCAGCTGCAAGCGACTGGCCACATATTTGCGCCTCTCCGTCGTTCTTTCCTTCCTCTCTTCCTCTTCCTCTCCTGCTTCTCTCTCACCTACTCGGAGGGGTACGAAGCAAAAGAGAAAACCCTTTCTTCTACATCACCACAGCAAAACAGAAACAGGACCATTTCGATCCCCCCCTGAACACAGCAGGACAAAACAGAACGACCAGAGCAGGATTTGAACCTGCGCCACCGAAGTGAATAGATTTCTAGTCTATCGCATTAGACCACTCTGCCATCTGGCCGATTGATAAAAGAAAGGTCTGGATTGCGGGATTAACATCAGTCATCGACTTCTCGACACCAATCCGGGCTAGCTCGATTTTCCCTCTATCTGCCTACGCTCGTTCCTTCGCTCACACCGGCACGCGGTACACTTGATACTCATCCCCGACGTCCACCGGCAGAATGTTAAACGTTACATACGAGTCGATATTCTCCGGCTCCAGCACGTTGAACGCGTGTGCTGCGTTCTTCTGTCTCGTGCTGACCCAGTAGCCTCCCGCTGGGATCTTCACCTCCTTGCTCACAGACTCGGTCGTCACCGTCGTGCGCACGACGCCCTCGTACTTGGACGTGGCCACGGTCGAACTCGTCACGTTGAGCGCCTCGACTTGGCCCTCAAAATCGCCATACAGCTCATCCACCACGACGCCCGCCGCCTGCAGCCTGTCGGCGACATCGTGCCACGCCCGCGAGAAGACGTATGCCTGCGGCCTCGACCGCGTGAGGTTCGCTGTCACGGGGGTCGTGTTCATAAACGTCACCGGCACGTCGACAATGCTGCCGTTGGTTACGTCGATGAACGGCCAGGAAATGTTCGTCGCCTTTGCATAGTCCGTGATGACAATGTCCTCGTCGCTCGAGATGAAATCAGCCCGTGCCCTCTCGACTGTGTCGTGGACGAGCTTGGCATTGTCGGC